GAGCCAGTTCCTGACTTCCACCTTATCGTTTCTGCTCCTGTGCTGTGTACTCTGGTCAGTCCTCCAGACTAGCTGGACTGCAAGCTCCTGGCCGATTCTCCTGTCTCCGCCTCCTATCTTGCTGTAGGAATGCTGGGATTACAGATGAGCACCACTGCACCTGACTTTTTATGTGAGTTCTGGGGAGCAAAATCAGGTCTCAGGTTTGCATGGTCAGTGCTTTTACCTGCTGAGCAATCTTCTCAGCCACTATTTTGTTTGAGTTCTTGTCACATAGACTTTAATAATCTTCCTGTTTCTTCCTCCTAAATGCTGGGATTATAGGCATGCATCATTATACCCAGCTCACATTGATTCCTTTTATTTATTTTTATTTTATGTGTATGAGTGTTTTGCCTGAATGTATGTAAGTACAACCATGTTATATAATGCTTGTGGAGGCCAAAAGAGGGTATCAGACTCCCTGGCTGGAGTTATGGATGGTTGTTAGCCACCATGTGGGTGCTGAGAACCAAACCCAGGTCCTCTGGAAAAACATCCAATGCACTTAATTGCTGAGCCATCTCTCCAGCCCTTCACATTAAGATTCCTGTCAAAGGCCCAGACATGAACTCTGTGAGTTGAAGTCCAGCCTGATCTAGGGAGTTCCAGGCCTGCGAGATATACATAGTGAGACCTTGTCTAAAAAAAAAAGTCAAGTGAAAGCAGGGCCTAGTGGCACAGCCCTGTAATCATACCTTATTGGGGAAGTGACACATTCAAGGTATGCCTGGACTACAGAGCGAGATCAAGACCAACTAGACGATAAACAGCAAAACCCTATCTCAAAAAAAAAAACCCGTCTCAAAAAGTTTTAAAAGGGATGGGGGATATAGCTCAGTGGTAGCTTGGTTGCCTAGCATGCATGAGTCCTAGGTTCAATCCCCAGCACTTTAAACAAACAAAAAACCCCTCGAGTAGTATGATAATGACAGTAATATTATGATCCAACCAGTGGTACAGATCACTGAAAAAAACTAGTCTTTTTTTTTTTTTTCCCCTGTCTTTTTGAGACAGGGTCTCCTTGTAATCCTAGCTGGCCTAGAACTTACAATGTAGATCAGTCTGGCCTCAAACTCACAGAGATCCAAGTGCCTCTGCCTCCCAAGTGCTAGAATTAAAGGCATGTACCACCACGCCCAGCTAAAAAATTAGTCTTAACTTCTTTGTTTTATAGGCCCTTTCCTAGGTTGACTTACCTACTCTCATGACCTCTATCACTTATCTATATATGAGTAAGTCCTAAACTTTTATACACAGACCCAACTTTCTACTTTCTTTCAAGTCCAAGTTTTCAACTGCAAGCCCCTTACCATAAATACGTTTAAAACAAAATTGGCAACATTTCTCATATTTTTCCTTTTGCTGTTTTTTTTTTTTTTTTTATTGACTAATGAGATCTTCATTACTATCCACTCAGCCATAGAAGGTGGTTATGCTGGATTCTATCCATATCACCATCATCTAATCCAGCCACCAAGTTTCCTGGATTCTACCTCCCAAGTTCTTCTTAATCCCCATTACTGCTTTCATATAAACCTTAGCGTCTCTCACCTGGAATGTTATAATCACCCAATCATTCCCTCTGCTATTTCTCTCACTCTATTCTCTACCCCACTGATAAAAATCTTCTAAAATAAAAATATAATGCCACATCCTGATTAAACATTCAATGTCTTTTGTTGTTGTTATTATTGTTGTTTTGAGACAAAGTTTCACTCTGTAGTCCAAGTTGGCTTTGAATTCATGGCAGTCCTCTTGCCTCAGCCTCCTAGGCTTTAAGACACCAGGTATAAGATGTGTTAAGACACCAATCCTAGCTGATGACTTTACTGCCTAGAAGACAAAGCTTGATCTCTCACCATGAGACCAGCACTGATTTGCCTTATCTTCTGCCACTATCCCCTGTATGCTCTACTTTCTTGGATGCATTAACATCTTGGCATGCCGCAAATGACTGACGCATGGGGGTTGGGATGGAACTCAGGACCTTGCACATACTAAGCAAGCGCTCTACCATCGATCTACATCACCAGCTCATGTTCTTTGTCTCCATGCATTAGTGCATGATTCTCTCTCCATCCAAAACAATGCATCTGGTAAACTTACACTCATTTATCAAGAACCAGTTCAAATATCAGCAGCTCAAATACCATCCATTTTGTGAAATCTTTCTAATTTTCCAAGGCAGACTTCATTATCCCTTCCTCAGTGCTCTAGAGCACTTCCAATCTTCACCATATAGTATTTATCAAACCAAATCTTTTACTCATCATTGTTATCTCCCAAATGTGCCACAATAATACATGGTACACTGTATGCCCTCAAGAAATGTGGAAGAGGGCAGGTGAGAGGGCTCAGCAGGTGAAGACACTTGCCTCCAAGCCTGATGACCTGAGTTCTAACCCCAGAACCTACATGGTAGAACAAGAGAACTGACTCCTGCAAGTTGAACTCAGACCTCCACACCCATGCCCTGACATATATACCGCATCCCCACCACCCAAAAACAAATAAAAATGTAATAAAATTTATGACTGGTCTATATCCCCCACCTTATTGTGAGCATCTGTATGCCGGATGACATTCCTCAGGAGGACTTTCCCCAGTGGAACCCGTGACATTCTTCAATCTGAAATGAACAATAAATAACATTTCATAAATTTCTTATCTATATCAAATATGATAAAGCAAGAGATAACAGAAAGATCACTGAACTTAGAAGACAAAGAGCCTAAAAAAAGACATTTCTTTTCATCATTAAAATGCTCAACCACAATTAACTTAAGGATGAAAAGAGATGATGCACACTAAAATTCTTCATAACTTCACAAGGCTGTTCATGAGCTTTTTTTTTTTTTTTTGAGACAGGGTCTATGTAGCCCCTGGCCTGATAATCGCCCTGTAGACCAGGCTGGCCTCAAACTCAGAGATTTGAGCCTGCCTCTGTCATTCAAGTGCTGGGATAAAAGGCATGTGCTACCACGCCTGGCTGAGCACCAATTTATTTAGTCCTCACCATTTTCTAATAAGTCAAATAGTCCTCAGATCCTATGGGGGAACTGGTTCCAAGATCCCTAAGGATACCAAAATGCATGTGTGGGATGGCGATGTAGCACAGTAGAACATTTATCCAGCATAAGAGATACCCTGGATTGAGTCTTCCCAGTAACACACATCCAAGAGCGAGGATGCACACACACACATACACAATTCTAGAGTGTTCTGGTCTCTCGTGAAGAATGTTGTAATAGTTGCATATGTATTATGTATATGCAGCTATATATTTTAAACTGAGTCTCTTTTTTTGAGACTTCTCATGTACCCAGGCTGGCCCTGAACTGATCCTGCCTTCACCTCCCAAGTACTGGGATTACAGGCATGTACCTCCACACCTGGCCGGGGGGGGGGGGGTTGTTTCTACATTACTTATATCTAAAACTATACAAATGCTATGTAAATAGTTCAAAACAGATTTAGGAATAATGACAAGGAAAAAAAATGTTTGTACACATTCAATACATATGCAATTTTTTTCCGTAACATTTTCAGTTGGCTGTTGATTGAACCTTGGGTATTCCAGAGTGTGGGTGTATCTCCATTCCTATTTCGAAGACGAAGTTTCTTTAGAAAGTCTTAACTCCCCCCAGGCTATACAGACCCAGGTAAACGATGTGTGTCAGTGTCCAGATTAGCAATCAAATCTCGAATCCCCACAATTAGCTTGCGATGAAGCAAATACCTGGATTTGAGAGCGTCAAACACCACAAATGTCAACAGTAATAAAAACTGAGTTCTAAATACAAATGCAAAAGTGACCTTAACTTCTCTCTTCGGGGCATTTTACTTGCTACTTTGTATGGAACTTTCCACGAAGCAGATGACAAAGATACTCCCGTGTCCAGCTAGCAGGAGCCTGATGCTCACTCACCCCTCGATCCTGAGGAAATCAGGCATCTTGCTAGTGTGAGACGAAGAACCACTCCATTACAAGATCTCCTCCGACCCAGGAAGCCAAGGACTCAGGGCTGAAAGGCAGCTCTGCAGCTTCACCCGAGTCCGTGCACACGAGCCTTCCCACGGGTCACTGTGCCCTCACCCGGGGCCCAGGCCGGGGCTGCTTTCCCCCCGCCGACCCCGCCTGGCGGCTTTCTCCGGGACGGAGGCCAGCGCGGGCGCGGGCGCGGGCGGAGCCAGCAGGCCTGCCCGGGCATTCCCCGCGCAGCCGCGCCGGCCGGGGCGGGTGGGTTTCACGGCCCTGACAGGCGGGGGGGATCCTTGGGCAGGGGCACGGCCTTCCGCTGGGCCGCAGGAAGTATCTACGGTGTCTGAGAAGGCGGAGGCTTCCGAGGAGAAGACGGGAACGACAACCCCATGTCTGTCACCGGGAACCCTGCCCCGTGGCCTCCTCAGCTCAGCCAGCAGCCTTCCCTCCAAACGCCCTCCCCACACAAACACACACAAACACACCCATACCGTGCGCCGCAGCCTCGCGTGGCGGGGGTGGGAGAAAGGCGGTAGCTTCCCTTCCGGGCCGGAAGTCGTGCTCCCGAGAAATTCTTCCTTCCCCAGGGAGACCCAGAGGCTCCCACTGCTGGGGATTCGCGGGGCGCTGTAGGAACTGACAGGTTCAGGAAGGAGGCGGCCGCTGTACGGGGAGAGAAGAGGGTCCGGCCCAGCCTACAGCCAGTCCGGCAGGCAAAAGATTATCCCGGAACTGGAAGTAAAGAGACCTCCATTACTTTGCGCTTCCCGGACCCAATTAGATGTTGGACCCGCCCTGGTTACCGTGGTAACGGGAGTCGCGGTCTCGCGCAGAATTCTGAGAGGTAAGTTTCCAGACGGTTGGGTGCTGTGTTAATTGTTTATTGAGGCTAACCCTAATATATGGTTTGAAGAATCTAAACCTCTGTGTGTGGAGGTGGTCTGGAGCACCTCTCCGTTGGAGAAGATGAACGCAAGATCTTGACTGTTACACAGTATTTACCGAGTGTTCCAGCTTCTCTATATTAGCGCGCTTAATCCTCATAATTCTGACATAGATATTGTCGTCTTTGTTTTGAGTAGAATAAGTACATATAAACATTATTTACCCGTAGCTAAGCTAGCGGAAGAGTGTTATAAAGAATCTAAGCGTACTGACTCCAGAGTCTACCAAAGTATACTGAGGACTCATTCATTTCTCTCTCTCTCTCTCTCTCTCTCTCTCTCTC